TTGTTGCTGTTGTCGTTTTGTTGCTGTTGAATTAGAGTTTATACTGTACTACGATCTTGTCGGCAACCCGCCTCCCCATAACATAAAATCTCCGACCTCCGACAACCTTCGACCTGTACATAAAGGGTGGCACATCTTAGTCAGTAGCTCTTAAAACAAATATATTAAGTTTTCTTTTTTTAACTGTGGGCCACATTGAAAATGTATTCACAAAAAAAAGGAGGCGGTCTCGGGGCGGTAGCAGAGCGGCCGCAGAGCGATGGCAGTGCGGCAAGGCGGCAGATCGATGGCAGAGCGATGGCAGTGCGGCAGTGCGGTGTCGGTAGCAAGGTGGTCTCAGTGCGGTGGCAGTGCGGTGGCAGTGCGGTGGCAGTGCGGTGGAAGGGCGATGGCAGTGCGGCAAGGCGGTGGCGGTGGAAGGGCGGCGACAGGGCGGTGGAAGGGCGGCGGCAGGGCGCGGTGGCAGGATGGTGGCCAGGCGGTGCACAGAAGGCGGTGCACAGTAGGTGGTAGCAGTGCGGTGCACAGGAGGCAGCGAGCCGGAGTGCTTAAGAATTGATAATGCAATACATGTACATTTAATTGACGCTTGCTACATATTGCACTACGTAATACAAAAAAATTGGATTACCACGCAGGGGTTGTTGCATGCATTGCTCCTAATGGCGAGCAAGCTCCCTGCGGCGCTGCTTCCCACCTCTTCTAACCTTACTACTAGTAGCATGATAAGTCTAAGATTTACAATTAGTGTGTGGTAATGATTGCACTGGTCGGAGAAGTCGGAGAAATGACTTTATGCATTCGATATGCCTACATATTGAAATTTGTAAGAGCATATCCATATTTCCCGAGTCCTCTCCGACCCGATATGTCGGAGCCAGCTTCAACGAGGTTCAACCTAACCCTTGGCCTTTGGATTGGCCAAATCATTTTGTCAAGACCGTACGATTGGCTGTCTAGTAAATAAAAATGGATGATTGATGATAAATGCCAATACTAAAATTAAGAAGGGTCGGAGAATTGATGATAATCATCCATAAAGTAGTTTCTTTCTTCGCAACATTCCGATAAGATATTATCTGTACTACGCGGCACAACTTTTTTTAACAAATATATTTCAATCAGAAAAGTAAGGCATCGCTTATTTAATTTTACTGAGCGCCTTAAGTAACAAAAGAGAAAAAATAAAAGTAGCATATTGTGAGCCAAAATAACAAAAGAGAAAGTGTAAAGATATTTTGAGTCAATGGTAATACTCTACATTGTACCCATTTAGATGTCTAGCTTAACCATCTTCGAGCGACGACGTCGCTGCATGCGGTAGCGGCGGTGGCGCTCGTGCTCTGTGCAGGGTCGTGGTGGCGAAGAAAGCGGTGGAGGCGGTGTGCCCATAGCAACCGCCAGTGTGAACATCCGCTGCTCGCGCTGGTCAGGCTTCGGTGGTGCTGGGGCCGCATCGAAGCGGTGCCAATAGGCCCGTGCGTTGGGCCCATTGGCACACACAATGCAGCGACGCCCCCTAGCTCTGGCGGAGCCAGCTGCAAAGGCGTCCCACGAAAGGAACGCTTTGCAGCAGGCACACAGCCGGAGCGCCAGCCCAAGTCCGTCAAGGTCAATTGGCGGTGGCACCACATGGACCTCACAGGTCCGGCAATCAATCGGCTCCATTTTGTGAAATGTAAGATGAAAGTTTGATAAAAAGCACCTTAACCAATTAAAATAATCCGTATTTTATTCAATTACAACCAAGATATCTCAGCCACTCATTAATGTCACATTTCCACCAATCGAAGCCACCTTCGCTCCGCTTGGCAGCCAATGGGAAGGCTAAAAATCTGAGTGTTTCGTGTGACGGACGGACGGACACCGTGCTAGCATTGATAGTTTAGGATTGACAAATAGTGGTTAGATGTGCAGTGGCATTTCATTCGACAGAAAGTCACGCCCCTCCTAATATGCAGGCCCCGCACGGGTCGTCGCCTTCTGCCCCCACCCCCGCGATAGCTCGCCGCGCCGGAGGGCCAGACAGCCTCCTACAAGAGCTACGCCTACTTGTTAGTGGCGGCGACTACGGAGACATCACCTACCTCATCCTCGATTTGTACAAGCGGCTGCATGGATCAAGGGATCGATACATCGGCGTGGGCCTCTGATGGAGCTTCGCCGTCAAAAGCGAAGCAGTGGCGCTGGTTTTCAGCAACGCGTGCGACGATGTTGCAGGCTTTCGTTGCCAAGTAAAGCTTCCCAAGGACGACACCCACCTGCGCAGCCTACTCAACACCTCGATCGTGGCTGAGTTTATCAAGGCCGGAGCTCAAGCAAAGTGGAAGGCTCAACGCGAGTGCCCACCGGACCAGCTTGCCGTCCATCTACCCGGTTTCTATTCCAAGCTTAAGTTTTCTACGGATCAAGAGTACATGTTCCCCCCTGAGTACTGGCTCCAAGCGAGCAATCGCGAATCGCCGATCCACGTCGACCATGCGCGTGTCGGCAGCTACATTTCTCCGTGCGCAACAAGGTTATTCAAGGTCTGGGCTTCTTTCCGCCTAACGTCCAGCCGCCGTTCAAGTGGGGTAATAAGATCAATTCCTTTAACCGATTGTTGAAAAACAGTGGCTCCGCTGTGGTTGTCCAGCGTCCAGGTGATGTCGTCTACCTGAACAGCTTGGTGTACCATTCCGTGCTGTTGGGGTTTCTGCCGGAAACAACGCCATCCAAAAGGTGGAGAGGGATTTTTGGAGACGTTATCCTCCTTCTTTAAGATCGCGAGGAGTCATTCAAGTACGCGACACAACTGGCAACCGGGTCAGAGCGAGGGTCGGTTCGAGCTTGGCGCTCACTACTCAGCGCGTTTTGTGTAATAAAAAGGCGTGTTTGGACCGACAAAAACTACGAAGAAGAAAAGAAGACATTTTTAGGAAAGGCTACCTGAGACGGACAAAACAGCCAAGGTTCAGCTTCAAGCCAACGCGAAGTGGAACAAAAAGCGCAGTATGGACGAGAAGATGCGCGCTTTACGGGAGAAGACCGCCCTGCCGCACTGCCACCGCTCTGATGTCACACTGAGACCGCCCTGCCGCCGCCCTGCCACCGCTCTGCCGCCGCACTACCACCGCACTGAGACCGCCCTCCACCGCCACCACCCTGCCACCGCTCTGCCGCCGCACTTTCACCGCACTGAGACCGCCCTGCCACCGCCACCGCACTGAGACCTTTCTGCCGCCGCACTGCCACCGCCTCCCTCTTTTTTAGTGAATACATTTTCGATGTGGCCCACAGTTAAAAAAGAAAACTTAATATTTTTGTTTTAAGAGTTACTAACTTAGATGTGCCACCCTTTTGGTACAGGTCGGAGGTTGTCGGAGGTGGGAGATTTTAAGTTATGGTACTAAGAGTTTCATAGTCGTTGTGGGTGGGTGTATTACTTGTCTTGGTGTCTTCACAGGTAGTGGATGGAGCTGCCAGGTGCAAGGACCATGCAAGCAGCTCGGCTGGTGAGCATCAAGCGTGAGCAACAGTCGCTTCGATACCCTTTACAGCTGAACTTGTGGGGTTCAGGTCTGTGAGTAGCGGGAAGTGACGGAAGACGCGTGCGGTTGGGACATCCATTACCTTATTGTTAACGTTAAGGCTGTCGACCTTGAGCTGAAAGCAGGTAGCAAGCAGGATACGCTGCACCCGATCCATCGCTTCACGCGTCTGCGTGTCAAATCCAGTCAAGTTTTGCAGCGACACCGCGTTTCTGAGTTTGTTTCCGCTGAGTACTTTCGCTATCTTGTGGTCTTCTATGCTTGTATTAAAAAAATGTAATTGAACCCTTTGTTCGTCGTGCTTAGATTTTAGGAGCCTCTGTCAAAAATCCAGCGTGCTGTCATCTCGTCGCAGACGTTTGCGTGCTGAGCGCCTCCTCTTCGAAACGAGCGCGATGTCAAGGCGACATCCACACCAGCAGCAGGCGCCTCATGGTCTAGCACCCGGTTAACGTGCATGTATACAGTAGGAATTGCGGCAACGCGCGGCGGGGCTGCTGGAGCGGCAAGTCCAGTGATGACTTGCGGTGCGTTGAGCAGCTCGATCAGCGGGACGTCGGGAGAAAGCGTGGAGCTTGCGAAGCCTGCTTGTGCTGGGAGGTTGCTGATGAGGGCTGCGCCTGGGGCGGCTTGCAGAATCAAGGCGAGCGCAATGGCGAGCAAGGGGCACGTAGCCATTTCCGAGTCAGGAAAGAGCGACAGCCCCTGCTCCTTTTCTCAGCCCAAAGGCCGTTTCAGGGTCTGTGAATCCGGCTATAAAATTGGTAGAAAGCAGTCTTTGGCACGACGACTGGCATCTCACATCCTAAAAATAGATCCTCTAACCACTTACATATTATCAATATGAATTTGTGTTATTCACACTAAATGACATTTTCTATGTGCTCGGTCGAAGCTGTCGGAGGGTCTGAGTTAATTTGATATGGGACGAATATCATCAATTGTCCCGACTCTTCTTAAATTTTAGTAGTGGGGATTAATCACCAATCATCCATATGGGGTTCATTAAAACAGCCAATCGTACGGTCTTGGACAAAGGATTTGGCCAAATCCAAATCCGAAAGGGTAAGGTTAAAACCTCCGTTGAGAGTGGGTCCAGCATATCCGGTGCGGAACGCACTTCCGGGGAATAA